GACCATGCTTTGAGCAAACTTGCAACTCTTCTATCAGTACTCTTTCTACTTTTAGTTAACGGGGCGACCCTTTCTTGCAAAAATGTGTAACGATTTATTCTACCTTTAATTGAAGGATTTTGCGCAAATTGATAAAATTTAGATAAAATTCCTGCTACATTCCCACCGATATGAAATGTTTATTCTCGTTATCAATGAAATTCTTTGTCGTTTAATTTGGAATAACAGGTGTGGTGAATGTTGTCGCTGAGTTGTGTTTTTTTCCAAGTAGCTACGCGCACTCACTCAGGAATATAGGAGATTCATCTCTGAGCAAAGTTACAGGCGATCGCTAAGATGCCACGAGCTACAGAAGTTGTAAATCATTGCAATTGCCGTTAGTGTCCGGGGTGGGATGCCAAAAACGTGATTTGAAAAGTAAACCTGCGCTAATGATGTGGTTTCTGCTGGATTAACACTACTTATCCTTCTTCTATGCTTTTGTGCCGGAGAATCTGTATGTGCATAATGCAAAAAATGCTGACTGATTGTTTAAATATGCATGCACTGCTTTTCTTGTTATAGTTTGAACTACCGGTATGTATATCCGAAGAAATCTGTCCTTGGTCAGACGAAACGTTACAGAAATATATTTGTGGTAGTGTGCAACAAGACTATTGAGTCACTTAGGTAAAGTTAATGTGGATTGGTATAATATTCGCAAAGTCTAGCAATTTTTAATGTAAATTCTTTAATATTCTTGTCGCAAAATCTAGCATTATTTATCGGAAGTTGGCAGTGATAGTTTTATTTTGTTTAAACGGCCCGATTGAGTGTTTGAGTTGGACGGTTGAAGTAGGTGTTTACTGAAAAATAAATTATTACATGAGTGACAGGGAGATGTACAGGAAAGCAAGAGTTATCACTAGTCAAGCAAGAGGCTTATACAGTGTCGTAGCCGGGGGGTCGATTTGCGGGTCGAAACCCCCCCTTTTGAAATGTAAAAAAATATAAAATCATTTTTCTCTATCGTAGATAGTAATTAACCGCAGCTTGAAATGCTTTTTAGACCCCAAGACTAATTAAAACACGCGTATTCCAGATTTCGGTCGGACCCGCTAGCTGTTTCAATCTAACTTGGCAAAAAAAATTCAAACCCCCCCCCCCCCCGTGCTCATACCTAAGGAGCAGGGAGGTAGCCAAGATTTTTGAAATTTGTAATTAAGACCGTAACTGACAGGCTTAAAACGCTTTTTAAGCTACGAAATGATGAATATGTCTGAAATGGGCAACCCCTTTTAAAACAAGGTAACTTCCTATCTATCAGTGGTTATTTTGCAGAGCCCTATTCGAAGTAGAGACGTTATAAAGATACGTCGTTCTTAACACGGCGCCGTATTTTTACGTAAAAACCACCAAATTAGCAGTAAAAATTATGACTTTATTAAAAATAAAATAGTAAAATTCGAACGTTTTTTTGTTTAATTTGCGTAAAAAATGCGAATCCAAAAGCTAGTAACGGCAATCAAAGGGTGGGGTTTAGGTAAGGAATGCAGACTAGCATCCGTACAGACTATTTATTGTTGGTCTAGCAGCGTTTTTATGACATTTTTGCATCCGATATTAAAAAAAAAGGGAACACTGAATTGTCCGGTGTAAGGAAATAATACAGGCACTCCCATAAATGTTTTAGAAAAGAATTTTTGCTCGATATTTGCTTCTTGAAACGCTTTTCAGAACCTAAAGACTGTGGAAAGCCCACATTTTACTCTAGCCCACTAGTTGTTACGGTCTAACTAGGCGATTATAAATTTCGGACCACACCCAGAATATTCGGTGCTCTCAAAGAAAGTATGTGCACCAAAATGGCGCACAACCTGAACATAGTATGTGTACCAGGTTGGTGTTATCAGGTTGTGCGCCATCTTGGTGCACATACTTCTGGAGCGCCCAAAATCCAACCCTATTCTCTATTGCAAGGCTTATTTAAAATGAAGTCATCTGTTTGATGGTTGGTTGATGTTTAAAGCGATAGATTGCTACTTTATAATATCTATACCACCCATGGGCAAAGTACGGCCCGCGGGCCGTATCCGGCCCGTTCGGTAATTCAATCTGGCCCACCTGATGCTGCCACAACCAAACTTAACTTTTTACTTTTTAGCTAAAAATAGGTTAAGGAATTTGTCGAGATTGCAATTAAATTCAGTTTTGGCACAAGGCTTATTGTTTTCTACCTTCGCTTTGTAACTCTGTAAATATTGTTCATAAAATGTAGCTTTGTACGTCACACTTACATGACCCGCCAGCCTAGATGGGCAAAATTTTTGGCGCCTGGTTCAAAAATCTTGCCCACCTATGATCTATACTCTAATGGTATATTAGAGCCAGTTCGTTCAGTCAACGATTAAAAGTCTCTTTGATACTATAAAAGGCGAATAAGCAATAAGCGATCGTGACCATATGTAAAGAAAAAAATATCACTTAATTGTAAGATTAAATATCAGTTTATTAGGCACAAGCTAAAAATGACCTAAAACTTACAGATTGTATTATTACTTTACCATCAAATGTGAATAATTCTGCGTTTTTTACTGTAGTCTAGTATCAGGCACTTAGCTGGCTAATGGCAAAGCCACAAACCGTTTACAGAGTCAATTAGCTCTATAGAATTGTATTAATTAATAATGAGCGACGAGCTTTCGGTAGCAGAAGTTTATCCACAATCAGTAAAATTAAGTTCTGTTTTATTTAATTTTAGCATAATAAGTTCCAGCGCCAATGTGGTTGCATTGTTCGCGGCAAAAGCAGGCCAATAACCTTTCATTAGTTTTATCAGAAGCCAGGATTGTATTAACTAATAATGAGCGTAGAGCATTACGGCGATAGATATATTCACAATCGGTATTTTTTTGTTATTTTTGAGTTTTCAACAGAATTTGTTCTATCGCCTGTATGGTTTCTTGCCCAGGACCATCGATTCGGGGCAACATCACATCGATAATTGGGTCCATCAGCACACTAGAATCCAAGGATTGTACTATTCTATAATGAAAGTCAATATTCCTGTTGGCAGATACGGTTTGGTCACTTTTTTGGAGCCTCAAAGCCAGCGTTCCTTGTCAGAGCCTTTGTATAGAGCAAAAACGTAATTAATCACAAAAATACTAGCGCAGGTAGTAGAGAATACAATTATAATATTATTATAGCTTAGTCAAATGTGTGGAAAATGGGAATACATTAAATCAGCTACCGAAGTCAATAGGTCGACAAGTTAGCATTTACACCTTGGCATGTAGAATTTGAGTCGTAAACGGAAACCTTAAATTTTTAATCTTCTGCAAGTTCAATACAAATACCGTATGGTTAAAATTGAAGTGAAGACGACGCCGCAAGCCATTCATTATTACGTGATAAATTAAGCTCTTAAGCGTTTTATTACGTCAGAAATGTAATTTCGCGTGTTTTCTTCCAGTTGTGTATTCCATTAAACTTGATTGATGAAGGTAAATTAGGCGGGAGAAAGGATTCGTTCATGACAAAACAGACTTTTCTTTGTGTAATTGTTAAATCATACAAGGTGGTCGAAAAGAGAAAATCCATTCATTTGTTAATTACTATGAAAATGCATAAATTAAATTTAAAAACGTTATGTTCTCTCTAGTTTGTGTTTTACAGCGTCTCGCAAATCATTGAAAAAACATGGCCTTTTACGAAGTCAAAGTGGCGGAATTCCTCACAAAAACGCCACCAGGGACGCTGAAAAACACGTCATAATGCCCCCGATTGTTGATTTGCGCCTCCTATTACTATATGAACGATAGAAATGGCTGTTGTAATTAAACTGTTTTCCTTCATAGTTTTGAGCGTCCGGCCCAGTAACCATGTCTATTATCCGTAACTGTCCCACTCAGGAAAGCAATTGCCCACCCCAGATATAAACCAACGATTCAATTTTGTTTCCACGAGGCCGCGGTCAGGTTATAGGAAAGATTAATGCGGTCATATTTAACTAAGTTTGGTTTCCCACGGGAAGTTGATTGCAAAACTAATTTAACAATATTTATTTTAAATTTCAATCTTACCAAAGGAATTGACATTTAGCTAACGAAATGTGAAATTTATCGACAGACGGCTATATTGTCATTTAAATTTATTGTTGTTTTGAAAAAATAAAGCGAGGTTAAAATAATTTACCTTTTTCCTGAAAATTCGTTTCTCTCACAATGGTACCATTGGGTTATTTCATTTAGGTTTGCTAAAAGTAAGGCCATCAACTAAACGTTGTTAGGGTACTAATAGAATAGTTTCAAGTTTGCTCAAAGCAATAATTCATTGTTATTTCGAAATCGAAGTTCGGTTTGAATAACTCGAGTTTTTTCCCGGAAATTCGTTGCTCTCATAATGGCACCACTATTTTTTTTCATTTAGGTTTGCTCAGAGTAAGGTCCTGAGCTATCAACTAAAAGTTGTTACGATACTGATAGAATAGTTTCAAGTTTGCTCAAATCAAGACACTGACTCTCTGAGGGTAGAGTTCTGGTAATAGAGTTGTAAAAGAAAGCATATCACGAGATTTGAACTGAAGTAGAAATACCGCTAATAGAAAAGGCAGCATAAGAATAAGTTAATTAAACGCCATTGCCTTTTAAAATGTAAAAAAAAAGGCAATTTGGTTCAACTTGGCAATTACATTCTTGGTAAGGAGATACTATTACTGAAAAGACCGGGATCTTCCAGTACGGCATTGCTATCGCGCCACACGGATTATTTGTAAAACTCCGAAAACATTAATAATATAAACTCTACTATCGATTTGGTTTTCGTTTTTTATGCTTTTATGCCAGTGGGTCCGTATAATAAAAGAATGCTGTAGCAAGAGTAAAGATATCTATCCTAATTGATTCAAGAGTCCTTCTGCACACTAACACAAATATATTTCTGTAACGTTTAGTCTGACTAAAGTCAAATTTCCTCGGACAAATATTCATCCTTATTTACTTTTATTTATATATTTACAGAAATAGAATAAAAATTAAACTTAATAACACACATAGAAGAAAGGTATGAGATTGCTAATAGGATTACTATTGTTTGGAATATGCTGGGCACAGGATAGAATACCTATCACCACTTCGAGGGATAAATTGGACCTCAGGGATACTGCTGTAATTCTGCCGGAAATTGAGCATGTTGATGCCGGTCACAACCCCGTTGATGTGAGTGTACTTTTTGGCTTAATTTAGGGTAAAATTTACATATTTATCCCGGGGGGAAGAAAGCCGATAATACCGCTCAATCATATGGCGAACCACGGACTCTCGTCCGGTTACCAGTCCATGTCGGGTATAGGATTAGTTAGTTATTTGTTTTCGGAAGCATGTACTTGATGGCGGAGGACGCCATAACGGTTTTAAAGGCGTTTGGCCACATTTAAAACGGCAATGTTCATATATTAATATTTAAATGTTCTAGTATTTTAAAACTGATTCATTGCTTTTAAAAATCAATAAAAAACAATTAAAACCTTGCAGAGGTTTGAATGCGAAAAAGGTACTTAAATTAAATCAATGCATTTGCAAAGAATATGTGGGCTTTTAGGATTGCGAAAGTCATATTGAGAATAGGCAATTATTCTAGAATTTTTCTTTGAAATTTTATAATTTCAAATTGAGCATTTGAAAAGGAATATACGAAATTTCACCTTAGTAAATTAAGATTTTAGAGCAAAAAAGAGTAATTTTATAAAATACTCTATTTTTCGTTTATCTTAAATTCTAAAACAACATCTGTGATTGAAAATACCATCAAATTTTACAAGTTAGCCTTCCACCACTGGGAAAACTCTATTCAAATGTTCATTTATCATTTTTAAATGTTGACAACTAGGTTAAGCCTTTTATGGCTCGTGGCCACCTTCCAGTGGCAGTGTTATCATTCCAAATCCCATTATTTTCAAACAATTCATAACGTTGCAATGCTCAACAACAGCTTGCTTGTGCGAAGCGAACAACGCTTGTCATTTGAGATTAGAAACTAAAATTTTGTGCCTGCAACTACTAGAAATTCTATGTTAAATAAAGGTGCGGCCCGCAGTGTCCCCCAGTTATTTATATCTGGCCCTTCTGTATTGAAGGTTACACACCCCTGACTTAAAACACTGGGAACTATACTTTCATTCTTGTACTAAAGATTTCGACTGAAAGCAGTTGACATGAAATTTGACACAGTTCAAGTTAACACTGTTTGGGAAATAACTAATTTAAAATCCAGAAATCTTAAAAAAAATTTTCAAATTATAAAAATTTTTCGCAGGTTCGCTTTGAAACTGATGCCCAAACAGTAACGACGCAAGGTGGCAGTGACGAGGAATGTTCAACAAACTGTGACTCGTCGTCATCAGAATGTGAAGGTCAAAGTTCAGAATGCACTGGGTCATCAAATTGCCAACAACAAGGGTAAGATTATGGTAGCACAACACTTAATACTTGCGTAGAGATATAATTGTGGCAGAATTTAGCTTAACGATGTCGATGAACTAAACAACACTCGCGCTGATTATAAACAGTCAGAATTTATAACAAAAATTAGTGTCAAAAAGTATGTCTGCTATTAATAAGTGTTACGATTTTTATAAATTCACTGTTTTAGGGTTGTTTTTTAGGGGGTTGGCTTATATGCGGGATCTGCTCATATGTGGGGATATATGGAACTCTGATAAATATTCCTTCACACCTAATTTTACTAAAATAATCTAAAATCTGCAAGCTAACTCACTCTTGTATTTCGAGTAGCAGCTTGTTCGAGTCTTGTTCGGAGCAATCAAACAAATTTTATATTTCAGATCCTACTCTTGTCAATCTGGCAATAATAATTGTTGCGGATGCTGCTGTGGGTGTGGCGGGGGCGGGTCCTTCACCAATCACATACTCTTAGAATCTATGAACAGGATTATGCAGGGACCACCAGGTGTTCAGGGGATTCAAGGTATGTTGTGTACAAAAGTTTTTTTATAAACCTATTTGCAAGCTTTGATTTTCAAATTTTCATGGTCCATGGTCGCGTTTCTCAAACTTTTTACGTATTTTATCTTGCCTCGCACAACACAAAGAAATTAGTGATGGGTGGATTCCAAAAAGTTTTAAAAAAAGTTTGCTGTAAACTTGACAATTAAAGAATTAGGCCGACAGTTAGTGATATTGAATGGCTAGCGCGGCCGGTTCGCCTGCTTGTCGCCAGTAGGGAGACGAATTTACGAACCAAAGTCGCTGAAGTACAGCCGAGATGGTCATGGCGATCAATTTAGTCAAAATTGTGATCCCTATTCTGCCAACTCTGAAGAAGCTCCATGGCTCCCTCAAAAAGCTCTTGAAAATACCTATTTCTGCTTTCAACATTTTTTAATCAGTTATGATCGACATGATCAATAACAAAAAGCAAACAAATAAAAGCGAAAAAATAAATGCATTACAGTCAGTAAAATTTAAAAAACAAATCACGGTCAATCTATTACTTGCGGCCAAGAGAACCAACATGTGGCCTCTTAGAGGGCCGAGGGCCTATTTCAAGAACCCCTGTACTAGAGATTGGACTTGACATTTACAACATACAAAGCAAACATAGGTAACAGTCCCAAAGTCAATACAGAACGATAAATTTAGCTTTTATTATATTGCTGTACAAAACGTGATCACAACACTGATTCAGTGTGTTTGATATTTGCTTTTGTAATGTTCACCACCATTAGGTTTTATTACTCTAACTTAGCACACAGAGATAAAAATCTAAAGTATGCTCGAAAATACCTTTTGTCAGCTATAGAGGAGTAAATAGTCATGTTTTTTTTTCAGGAGCTTGATGCTCGCCTCTGTTAAGGCAGATAGTCCAGTTAAGGAAAACGCCCCACATTTTATGGCTCGTGGCACTTTTCCAGAGGCTTTTAGCCCTCATGCCCCCCTGTTTTTATTACTCCAGTCATCCAGGCGTATTCAAAGTGTTATTTTGATTGGTAGATTCCAAATGCCATTATGCTCAAACAATGCATGCTCAAAAAAGTGAAAACACTCTGTGAAAAAACCTTATCGAGCAATGAGACTAGTAAAAACGGGGAGTTTTCTTGTAAAATAAAAACTAGAATTCGGTTGGAAACCGAAGACTTATCCATCGGAGATTAGGGGATCCCCTAAAACAGTGGTCTTACTCATAGTGACACCGTGTGTCCCATCACTAATTAATTAATAACTCATTAAATATACGACATAATCCATCCAAAATCGATAGGCTCCTGTTCCGAACTATGATGAATACACATGCGAAATTTGGAGCAGATTCAACCCCGCTGTCGTCAGATATCGCGTGCATCTAACAAACGAACAAATAAACAGACAAATACCGATCAACATACTTACCGATGTTAAGATCGATAAGTAATGAGTGTTGCACCTAGCATTGTGGGCCCCCCCCCCCCCCCCCCTTCTGTGGATGGTCACAGCCGCCCGGTTGGGAACTGCTGAGCAAGAGGAGTCTTATTTTGAATAAAAAATTAGGTACTAAAACAAGCCCATTTCTCCTCACACAGATTACTAATTCCTTTTTCCATTTCTAAACAGGTCTTCAAGGACCAGCAGGATTGCCTGGTATGCCAGGATCATCAGGAAAGCCAGGAATGCCAGGACTACAAGGCCCTCAAGGAATACAGGTAATTAAAAATTTAAATTTGATTAATTCAAAACCATGCTGTTACTAACAAGGACTAATCGGGATGATTCCAGTACTGTTAAAAATAGTTATTTTCATACATAACGTTAAATACAAGGAGCAGCTTCTTCAAACGAGTGCGTTCTGAAATTTCTAATTGCCACGTTACATCGTATCAGCTAGCAGGTTCGGTCCATAAATATGGGTTTTCAAGAATCTTTAGGGTCTAAAAAGCATTTCATGCTACGAAAAATTGGTCTGTATGATACAGAAAAATGCTTTGTTTGCATTTCAAAAGGTTCCCCCCTCCCTCCCACTGGCTGGACACCTGGGTAGATGACAGTGACTAATTCGACAGAGCCTTGTTCGCCACAAATAGCATGAATAAATGTCTTATAAAATGTGCATACAGTGAAAACGTTATTGTACTTTAAGAGTTTATAGAAATTTCTTACCGGTGTATTATTTTTAAACTTTATCTGCAGTAAAATAACAGTAACATCGTACTTTGTATAATTGATATTGCAAAATATTTATTTGGTCCTGTTTTCTAAATGAACCATGTGATGCATTTCACATGGCCCTGGAATAGGCAGACAATAAATTTCTCTTTGTATTTACAGGGTATCACTGGACCAGTAGGAAAAGGTCTTAAAGGCGACTGCGGACCCAAGGGCCCAAAAGGTATGCCAGGAAACCCAGGAGTCAGTATCCCGGGCCCTAAAGGAGAACCTGGTCCCCCTGGCCCACCAGGACAATTTGACTATGGGGAATTGAAAGCCCCAACACCACCCACTGATGGATTAAATGGGGGTGAAGAATCGCAGGGAATAAAAGGAGAAATTGGCCCCCAAGGTGAAAAGGGAGAACAAGGTTTTGAAGGGCCAATGGGGCCGGAAGGGCCACGTGGGTTGCCCGGACCGTCAGTTAAAGGGGAGAAAGGAATGACCGGGCCACAAGGGCCACCTGGACCCCCAGGGGAGTTATTAGCAAATGTCACCGGGGGAGGGTTAGGGAGACCCGGTATTCAGGGGCCAAAAGGGGAGCCCGGAGACTCTATCAAAGGGACCCAAGGTGAAAAAGGGCAACAAGGAGAAAAGGGTATGCCTGGGGTTGGAGAAATTGGCGGAAAGGGTGAACCTGGGTTACCTGGACCCCGTGGGGAGACTGGAATTGGGGAACAAGGACCCCCTGGGAAGGATGGCATGGGAATAAAAGGGGATAGAGGAGAGCGTGGTCTCCCCGGCCCCCCAGGGGACTTGGGTGCAGGAAATTTGGTCACTGGTGATTTAATTAAAGGGGAACCTGGAGAAACTGGGCCCAAAGGTGAAAAGGGGGAACGGGGCACAATTGGGCCACAAGGACAAATGGGGGTAGCGGGTATTAAAGGAGAGGCTGGAAGAATGGGTCCTGCTGGCCCCCAAGGTCGCCCAGGAATCAGAGGTGCAAACGGAAGATCAATTAAGGGTCCCAAAGGCATGCAAGGGGAGGGAGGGCCTAAGGGTGAATCTGGCACTGGGTATCCTGGACCCCCTGGCCCACCTGGACCCCCAGGAAGAAGTAGTGGGAGTATCGGCTTTTTCCCTAATACAGGAGGGAGTTCTTCTGATTGTTGTCACCCACAAAAAGTCGCATTTATGGCTGGTTTGTCTTGCAATTTCAATGGACATTACGAGCGCATAGCGTTCGATACTATTATAACAAACGAAGGGAGTGCATACAGCGAAAAATCTGGCTGTTTTATTGCACCTGCTGCTGGACTTTACATTTTTCACGTACATATACTAAGATGCCAAAATGGGGGGCCGTTATTTATGCACCTCATGAAGAATAAAGACATGATAAGTTCGGGAACAAACCAAGATGTCCGCTTCGAAACAACAAGTACGAGCGCTGTCTTACAATTACGAAAAGGTGATGTTATGTGGGTGCGATTGCGACAAGGGACTGTTTATGGACATACCCCGTCCCATTATTCCACATTTTCGGGGTACGCTCTCACTTTAGATGAAGATATTGACTCTAGCGCCATCTCATGGGAGCGCGCTGACGCTGTTAGTTTTGCGCTTCGAAAACCAAAAACTCGCAGTAAATACCTAGGTGGAACAAGGTCACCTAGAGTTGATGGTGATCACAGGTGATTGGTCAATAGCAATGTCAATCATTTAAGGACTTTATCTGATTGGTTGATCAAATGAAACGGTTGGGGTTAAAAATGCATGTTGTGTTGAAGTAATCATAATACAGGGAAAATTTTATCGATACCATATATTGTTTTGGCCTTCATAGATGAAATAAATGATGCAAAAAACTTGAATAAACACTGATTAAAATGAAATAATCCTGGTTAAGAAATATTGAGAACTGACTTCATATCAAAATTTTGAAATTGTATTTCTATGAACACCCTGTTTACACAGTACGTCAGTTCAAATAGTAAAAATGGCTGGCTTTACGATGACAAAAAGTTAACTTTTTCAATGTATTCTATTCAAATGAAATGAAATAGATTTAATAACAGACAAGAATTGTGTCTAAAGGCATAAGCCACATGAGGAAAAATTACTACTTTAAGTTATTATATTGGTTATAATACTTGATATTTGTCACTTTAATCAAAAAATATATAAATAAATATTTGAGTCCTGGTATAGAAATAGCAGTATTGATGTTATGTACTTAATAAATGAAGAAAAAAAATGAATTCATTTCAGAAATCACCCAAAATTTGGTGATATTGGCTGATGGTCAGACATAACATAGGCTCCAGTTAATAAATTCTAATGGTATTTCGCCAAAAATATGACAATAACCCTGTCTGGTGAAATACACTGATATTTAGTAAACAAACCTGACAAAACATAAAACAAAACATTTATTATTTTAAATGATGATTAATAAATGAAATACTTTGCTATACTACATATTGCTTTCGCTATTTTATTTACATATTATATACCTAAATTCATTTTTTATTTTATTATTGTAATCTTTATTTGTTTATATTATTGCCTCTCTTTCTGTATTATGTGTGCCATTTCTATATTAAATTTATTCGTTAATATCATTGTCTTGATAAGCTTTTAAGACTCCTATCTATTTGGTATCTACTGATAGTATCATGAAATTTGGGACAATTTACATTTGTCACATTTAACCACCTCATTCACGTTTTCTCGACGATTATTTCAGAAACCGCAAGGTCTTCGTTCCATTATATTTTAGATGGCTCGCAGATGGCATAAGTTGGTTTAGAACAACTGGATAAGTAAATGGATTAGAATTAGGATTTAACCAAATTAAATGCTCGTTCCACGTGGTGGCGCACACCGTTCAAAATTGACACTTTGCCGCAAGCCACATAATTTTTTCTGGTGGGCCCTATTTGGCCGCAGTTTGCACATCCCTGGCCTAGTGCAGTGGTGCCCATCTTAAATGGCTCGCGCCCTTCAGAAAGCTTTTAGCACTCATGCCCCCTCCCCCTCATTCAACTCCTAGACGTATTCATAGCGTTATTTTGATTGGTAAATATCGAACCCCATATATATTCAAACAATTCATGCAAACAAAACACCCTGTAAAATAATCTAGTCAAGCAATGAAACTAGGAAGAATGAGGAGTTTCATTGTAAAGGAAAGATCAGTTCTGCGACTAGCGCTGCCCCCCCCCCCCCAACTGGGCCACAGGCCCCTGGTTGGTACCAATAGCCTAGTGCATATAGCATTAGACTCAACTATGTTGACAACCCCTGGTTCAAATCCCACGCCTTCCACATCACCCAGGTGTAATACCTAGGTAGACAATGCCGAAGCAGGAAGCTTCTGATCCTTTAGAATAAATTCTCTATATCAGTGGCATCTTTGCAGAGACTTTTTCGGAGTAAAAGGCTATAAACACGTCGAAACAATATATTGTGCTCAATTACCATATTTCTGTATTTTTTTGTTTTCAATATCTTAGAACATTTTTTGTATTTAAATTTTTTTTTTGTTGAATTAATATTTGTGAAAAAATTAATACACAGAGCTTTCGGTTTAAATTTTGCCTTTTTGTACAGGAGTGTCTTAGAATAGAATATTAGATAGAATATTAAAGATCTTGTAGTTTTGTACCAGTGGATATGTCCCCCCCCCCTAGATTGTAAATGTCAAACCAAATTTCTTGGCTAAGAGCGCATGGGCCCTAACATCTAGATCAGGGTTGTTCAACCATTTCTCTGTTAAGTACCCCCGAGTCACGAAACAATCAACGCGAACCCCCCCAAGTCGTGAAACAATCAACGTGAACCCCCCCGAGTCACGAAAAAATCAACACGAACAACCCCCCCCCCCCCCCCGAGTCACGAAACATTCAACGCGAACCCCCCAAGTCACGAAACAATCAAAAAAGCAACACACGAAAACTCGACTGTCATCCAAGTACCCCTGGAGGTTCGCAAACCCCAGGTTGAGAACCCCTAGTCTAGATTGAGGTCATTGAGCTTTTAAGTCAGACTGATAGATGTCCATTTATCAAAATAACAATTTCTTGTATGAAAATATCTCAATCCTTTATGAAAGTAAGAATTTTTGGTGCTCCAGAAGTATGCGAACCAAGATGGCGGACATCGGAACGTAACATGGGTAACAGGTTAGGGTTAGGCCTTAATTTTTTTCCAATTTTCCTTATTTTAGTCCTATTATCAGTTCGAAGACTAGCCAAGAGCCTCCCGTAGTATTTATACCTAAAATTATGGCCTAACCCTAACCTAGTACACATATTACATTCCGATGTCCGCCATCTTGGTTCGCATACTTCGGGAGCCCCGAATTTTTTTATATTCAACAACTATATTCGATTCCTTCTAGACATTGCTGAATGCACTAATAGATTATGTACTGATGGATGTTATTTGCCCCAAAGGATATTTTTTTAAACGAAAATTACATACAAAATCCAGGAGAGTCAAATAATATTCAATCCATTTTGAATTATCCTTTTTTCCAGCTAATACGTTAGGTTAAGTAAGTTGAGGTCCATAAGTTATGCAAGCCTATATCATATGTCAGCCGACCCAATGGGAGGTTAGGAAGGTCATAATGGCACGCAAGGAACAGATGTTTGGCACCTATTCGAACACTAAAAACTGCACAGTTCGACACGTTTGACGTACTATCGTCTTTGATAATCTGCCGAGTGTTAATTACCAATTACAGAATATCTAATTATGAAATTATTGGCAAGTTTGCAAAAGTGAGAAGTTTAGAGATAAGACTGGTGATAGATATGAAGCAACAGCATGAAGTAGTCGATTTAAAATACCGGTAATTTTACTTTTCCAGGCGCTCCAGAAGTATGTGTACCAATATAGAGGTAACTAAGTTTGTTCAACTACTTTACATCAAGTTGTATAAAGGGACTTAAACCTATGAGCAGGAGGATATTCACTTGGCTAACGCAGACAGTCCCCGAACTTGTAATAGAACTAAAATAAGAAAAGTCGAAATAAAATTATGGCCTAACTCTAACCTGGTACACACACTACAGGAGTACCCTTTCTCAAATCAAACTAAACTGGCACATAAAATTGGAAATTGCCTATGGGCTAGAAATTTTGCATGTTGTTGGAAGCAATATATTTTTACGTTTTCAGCTACATGTTTTGTTTCATTGTCCAATCAGTTGCTTTATTGAATATGTAAAAAATTGCACAAAAGTTACACCCAAGACTTACTTAGTAGATAAAAAAAATATAGTAAAATATAGCGTGACAGTAGCTGAACTACCCCTCTATGTGTTGCTCAAGTTTCTTAATGTAACACTGTAAATCCATGCCAATAATGCGCATATTGTATGTGAAACTACAGGACGTGACACTACAGGAAATTTTTCCACTTCGGAATAGCGGCCTCTATCATCTCTTAAAATTCTGGTAATAAATCGTTAAATGGGTGAAGAAATGTCCTACAGCACTGCAAACATTTAAACTTTATTAACTTTCGAGTATTTGGTTGTATTAATAGCAACTTTGTACCTTACGTAGTAAAACACTTTAAAATATTTTCATTCGACATCACGACCATTGGGATATTTGGTTGTATTAAGAGCAACTTTGCACGATACATAGTAATACACTTGAACTTTACAATATTTTCATTTGAAATCGCGACCATTTGAGTATTTGGTTGTATTAAGAGCAACTTTGCACGATGCATAGTAATACACTTGAACTTTACAATATTTTCATTTGAAATCACGACCATTTGAGTATTTGGTTGTATTAAGAGCAACTTTGCACGATACATAGTAATACACTTGAACTTTACAATATTTTCATTTGAAATCACGACCATTTGGGATATTTGGTTGTATTAAGAGCATCTTTGCTCGTTATCTACAAATACAGCATAATTTTACAATTTACATGATATAGCACAATGGAATTTGACATTCATAATGGGTTAACTTTGAGGTATTTTAAACCCTGACATTCAGCCTAAGCCTGGGTTATAGAAATGATCAAACCAATAACAAAGGCACATGGCCTTTGGGAATTAAGTATTACGCATGTTACAATAGGACAGACAGACGACTATGAGAGCATGTAGGCGAATAAGGTAGATACATAGCTATTACATGTCATATGTTATTTATTGCACAACATTCTTAGATCTTTTTTTCTTTTATGTGTTTATCTCAGATCAGGTTAAGATAAGTTTAAATGGTCAATTATCATAACTTGTTTCTACCCAAGTTGAACAGAATGAAAGAAAACAAATATTAAAATGAATGATGGAGCAATACCTTAATCAATAGGTGACCGTACATTTGAACCCACGTGTATATCCGCGGGTTCAATCTATATGCGGGTGCTAAACCCCATAGGTTAGGGTTAGTATGTGTTCAAATATCCGTAAAACAAAAATTCCATAGGTGCAATAGTATGCAGCTGCAATTGTCGTGCGTTCAAATATACGTGGGTTCAATCTATATGCGGGTGCTAAAACCCATGGGTTAGGGTAAAACAAAAATTCCATAGGTGCAATAGTATGCAGCTGCAATTGTTGTGCGTTCAAATATACGTGGGTTCAATCTACCGGTATATGCGGGTGCTAAAACCCATGGGTTAGTATGGGTTCAAATATCCGTAAAATAATAATTCCATATGTGCAATAGTATGCAGGTGCAATTGCCATGCGTTCAAATATACGTGGGTTCAATCTATATGCGGGTGCTAAAACCCATGGGTTAGGGTTAGTATGGGTTCAAATATCCGTAAAATAAAAATTCCATATGTGCAATAGTATGCAGGTGCAATTGCCATGCGTTCAAATATACGTGGGTTCAATCTATATGCGGGTGCTAAAACCCATGGGTTAGGGTTAGTATGGGTTCAAATATCCGTAAAATAAAAATTCCATAGGTGCAATTGTTGTGGGTTCAAATGTAACCAAACCAGGCTTAATCATATATCGAACTACGACCTCTTATTAGGTTACCCTGTCGGAGATTGTAATAGTTTTTTCATAAAAAAAAAATGGTATAGGAAACTGAAATTGACTAGAAGTTAAGTAAACCATCCCACAATGACGAGTAGCCAGCAATATTTTAGTTAATAGTGTATTCAGAAATACGCCATTTTGTAGTGATTCACTACATTACCAAATAAGAATAATCTTTTTTCACAAAATAGCAAGTATATTTGTAAGCTTCTGTTAGATCATAGTCTATCTTCTTTAGATAAAACAAGATATTCACAATATTATCTGCTATTTTATTAAGCTACAGTATATCTTGTTTTGTTTGAAGAAGTTGACTGTGATCTAACGAAGGCATATAAAAATGCTTACTTGCAAGCATCCTTGTGGCAACAGACTCATACGGATCCGATGTAGGAAGTAAACAAGTAGAAAGAACTTGCAGTTCAATGTACAATATATAACCTAGTACCCTCTCATATTACCATATAGTTATCATAGCAAACCAAATATTCAAATTTAGAGGTGATGTATTCTTTTCATGAAAGGATGCGCGGTGCCACAATGTCTCGACGACTGACTTTGGCATTTGATTGAAGAGCGTCTCGCTTGGAAGTCTTTATAAACCCTTGATTGATGTTGAAAAGGAAACCTCATTCTGGCATAATGTGACCACATGATAAGCATATCAAATACACACATCTGGGAATGATAACTGGTTAACTCTTTCCATACATGATCAGAACTGATTATCAGACACGAAGCCACAGGATTAGGCAATCTTATTGATTTCCATCTTTCCACGATAAATAGAAAGACCTATATCAATTATTCCTGAAATGTGGTCAATATCAGAAGTCTCACAAGGATTAAGAGAATAGAACCATTTTATAAGTAGTCTTTGAAAAAGATTTACAAGAACTTTCTTAATAAATAAAGTTTTAATAAAGCAAGATAAAAAGAGAAATGACAAACTTGAAGAGACAATATACTATTACTATTGTGTGGTCCAAATGGAGGTCGCTCATATGCTACTTTGAAAAACCAAGTGATTTAAACCAAGTCTGTGAAGTCTGGGAAAATTTCACAATTGATCCAACTATTTTACAAAGAACCCCAACCATTTACATTCAGCTTATCATTAACCTAATTTAAGACACATTGGCAATGCTTTGTCGAAGTGTTTGAATAGAGATTGTTACCTGCACTGCCAGCAATGCTTTGTCAAACAGGGGGTGTCGCAACAATATTTTCTTGTACATTCAGAAATATGGACGGATAAATGCTCCCAATGGACATTTCAGTGGCTTATTGGACCATAAAAATATTTACAGTATTCTAATAATTTGACAACGCCTGTTTTGGACTTTTCTATTTCCTACTTCCTCATAAACAAACCCAATTGACATTCTCAGACTTGACCTTTGGCACTTTCAACGCACTCTTAAAATACTTCAGACTATAATTGTGTCTGAAATATGTTTGGTTCAAGAACTTATGATTATTAGTAAATACAACATCATGGGTGATGAAAGCAGGGTGGCAAATCGCAACATTCTTGTATGAGGCCTTATTCAAGTCAATCATTTCAATCAAGCTTCTACACTAGCAACCACTGACAGGGTGTAGTCAGTAATTTTCAATGAGGGGGGTTCTGACATTTATAATTGTCAAGTTAGACCCGAAAAGCTAGCGTGACCGGCCTAAAAAGCATTTCAATCTACGAAGAATGCTGTGTATGATGCAGAAAAATGTTCTTTTTTACATTCCAAAAAAAGGGGGTAGGGGGGGGGGATGACCCTCCTCGCTATGCCCCTGGCCACTGATATTCAACAATATGTATGTAGCTATTATATTTAAAACAAATGGGCTAGATTCTTGTTCACAAAATGTAACTTTTTATGTCATGCTTACATGGGCCGTCAGTCTAGGTAGGCAACTTTCTTGGACTTTGATACGAAAACGTTGCCTGCCACCCCTGTTATAAACCATCCAAACTGTAAAAAGGCTTTTAGTGCAAGTTATGTGCAAAATCTCGTCATGGATCCCTCGAAGATATGGAATAATATAAAAATGGAAAAAATATGGAAATGTACCTGGTGAGGGGAGAATTGAAAAAATACACAAGAGGTTAGAAATCACTGATGTAAGGCTATTCAAGGCACATAACAATGTTTACTCTCACACCAACCCAGACAGGTAATCTCCAAAACTTCAAATTCCCCACAAATGTCAAGCGTTGTAATCCTTTCACAAGTGAGAAACTGATTAAGTCGAGTACCACTACAAAACATCTGACACCTTTAACACTAGGAGTGAACATCAAGTGCTTCCTAATTGAGAAAAAGATAATCCCTTTCCACAAAATGTGTTGTTTCCTAGAAATGTACTTTCTATTTTCTAGCAGGAAAATAACCAATAGGTACGTACCGTATATGCTCGCGAATAGGCCGAGTTTAAAACTCAAAAAAAAAGTTGCCAAACTAAGGGGCCGTCTTATTCGCGCATAACTCAGATTGCACCAAAAAATCGGCTCATTCCCGCATCAGAATTTGATCACGCAACGAGATGATATTATGCTGACTTGCCGGTAATTCCTAAAGCTTCAAACCATACCAAGTTCTCACGATGAAAAGCGCGCAGACACACACTCGCTTGTAAAGGTGGATCGTCTTATCATACAGCTGATGGCTTGTACAGTCTTATTCTTAATTTTTATTCGTTTATTGGTGCATTTTCAGTCAACCAGTCAGTAGTTTATTTTACACGTGCCAAAAATACACATTGTATATACAAAATGAAGAAAGAAAATAAATGCATTCCAGTGCGAAGGGAGAAGCGATAATCCAGTAATGGTTACCAAGCAGCGTCCCTTTTGAGGAAGTCTAACGTTAAATAATAATCAGAAAAAAAATCGAACATAAAATACTAACAAAAGCCACAAAAAAGACACATTTGAGCAACGGGATATCCGAGTGTCGCTCATTACAACGGAATCAAAACGATTCCAGACTCGACAGGCGGGGTAACCATGACAACCTCAGTTTTGAAGGCTTTCGTAGGATTTTGCGAGTTTTTTGGTAGGATTTACTTTCTATTCGTAAAAAGAGATTATGTTATTTTTATTGAGAACAATTCTTCGTTTAAATCCTCGTGGCGACCTTGAACTGAAACTCAATTTTGTGATCGTTAATGTGTACTTTATGCCTTTTAAAGCTTATAAACATGTAGACATAAGGAATAAGGCGAAAGGTAAACCCTAAATGTCAGATATTGGAAAACAATCACAACAAAATTAATGATCTAGTAATTAAGTCCAGACAGACTTTCATTTAAAGCCAAAGGCTCGAATACTTCAAGTAGCCACTGATCCTCTTTAAGAACACTACAAATTCATCAAATTTCTGACAGACATAGGAAAGTATTACAGAAGAAAGCTTGTCCCCTTATTTGTGACAACTTTATAGACGTGAATATCGGTCAGAGAACGAAGACCTATCGATCGAAAGCTAGGGGATCCCCCAAAAAAACGCTCTTACTCCATAGTGACACCTTGTGTCCACTCACTAATTAATTAATAACTCACTAATTATACGACATAATTCATCTAAAATCAATAGGCTTCTGGTACGACATATGATGAATGCACATGCAAAATCTGGAGCAGATTCAATCTCACTTTCGTGAGATATCGCGTGCATCTAACAGACAGACAAACAGACAAATACCTATCAACATACTTACCGATAAAAATCGATAAGTAACAACGTACACAGTCTTCCTTAACCCTTTTTAGTTTACTTAGCAACTTTTAAACATATTATGATCTTGAAAATTTAGATGACCAGTTTACAATAATTTGTAATATAGCATTTCAGAATGTATTCGGAATACGTAATACCTCCGTTTTGTCCACAACCACAATATTATTTACTTGTGACTTGTGCCACACCCAACTCATTCCCCAACAAATACATAAAAATTTTCTCAGGCTCCGTACACCTCATGAATCTCCCAACCTCAAAAAACACCAGACTAATAATATATTCATTTGTCAATCTACTAGTTATCAATTAATTAGGATACAGACCCCTCATCCACCCCTTAAAATGTCATCATCACCCATATAGTGGTCGCTTAAACCCTAAAATGACAAAGACGGCAACCCCTTCATATGTCAACCTACCAAAAGACATACCTATAAAGACTTAACACTCGCCCGGCAATAACAATTTTTTCATGACCATGGTGGTTGCATTAAACCTCCCAATGTCAAAAAACGAGAATATCGGTCGGAGACCGAAGACATCGATCTTAGATCGGTAATTAGTTAATAACTCGCTAATTATACGACATAATTAACCCAAAATCTATAGGCTTCTGGTCCGAGGTAAGATGCATGCACATGCAAGTTTTGGAGCAGATTCAACCACGCGTTCGCGAGGTATCGCGTTCATCTAACAGACACACACACAGACAGACAGACATACATACAGACAAATACCTATCAATATACTTACCGATCTTAAGATCGATAAGTAATAACCACTTGATGGTCGCATTCAAATTTTTCATAACTCCCTCATCATAGCTGCATAAACCCGTCAATGTCGAAAAACCAACCTCTCCAAATACTAACAATTATTGACGCACCCCTGTACTATTTTCTTTACATCAATTTAACAAATATTAGCAAATAATGAGACACCCCTCACTAACCGATTAAAATATTTTCATACCCCATCATAGTGGCTGCGTAACCCCGTCAATGTCGAAAAACCCCAACCTCTTCAAAAACTAACAATTATTGACTCACCCCTCGTCCGCTCAAGTTCAAATCTTGCGACAAATATCCAGGTGGAAGATTCATTGACACCGGTAGCGTCTGTTCGTTGCACCAAACTTGACCGTCTTTCGTAAGAAGTGGGAGCCATGCATGGCCGACTAAACAGAAAAATGGAAAATTGTGGTTTTTACATAATTTGACTCTAAACAAGGCACTGTACTAGAAGTCACTGATGTGTGAAAAGCTGAAATTTTCAAAAGGGCCAGACCCGTAAATTTCTCAATTACTTCTTCAAAAATGAAGAAAATTTATTTATCATTTAAACTTCTATTTGTGCACGAATATACCTAAAAGTATCTGTAACATGGGACACTTTGCAAAAAAATGATATTTATGTCTAGAATATGCAAAAAATGATTTGAGTCCTGTTTTTGTTTTGCACTTACACTTACTTACTCATAATTACTCCTTCGAAAATGAAGAAAATTTATTTAACACCTGAACTTATGTTTGTGTGTGATTGTGCCCAAACGTTTTAGTTATCTAAGATGCTTTGCACAAGAGTTATGTTTCTCCTAGAATGGGGCTCTTTAAACTGGGGGGTGAACAGGGCCAAGATTCGACGTTTTGTGCGAGAATATGCATGCACATCTGTCGCATTAAAGGCATTGTCAATTTTATTATTTAGTATTTTCTGTATTATTGAATTTTACGGGGCTCCTGAAGTATGCAAACCAAGATGGCGGACATCGGAATGTAATATGTGTACTAGGTTAGGGTTAGGCCATAATTTTAGGTGCAAATACTACGAGAGGCACTTGGCTAGTCTTCGAACTCATAGTAGGACTAAAATAAGGGAAATTGGAATAAAATTATGGCCTAACCCTAAACTGTTACCCATGCTACGTTTCGATGTCCGCCATCTTGGTTCGCATACTTCAGGAGCACCAATTTTACTTTATTTTTATTTTAGTTCCAGGGAAAAAAAATTTTGGTCGTGCCAAGTGAGTGGGTATGAAATAAGTTGGAGGGACACTGATCTAGAATATGTTCCAATCGACCTAAGTTACATTTTCGGAGACACCCTATACATTTTATTAAATATGGAAAATACCAAAACTCAAATTAACACATTTGGGTAAGAATTAAAACTGGTTGACTATTCCCAAACTCGACCCGGGCCGGTACCCCAACAAAAAGGCGTTGTAAATGACATAATTACGACTTAATATTAACTTTCCTCTCCTCAGAATAAATAAAACAAAAATCCAAACCTACTTTCTATTCTTGTAGCATCCTTCTTTTTTCCGCTCATATCCACGAATATATGGTAGAATGAGAACAGTAAATGATGTCCACTGTGTAGCTGAGGAGGCAGAGCAAGTTTGAACTGAAAATAAATATTTAAGATGGTTGATTAGAATCGGAAAAATTTTGATATGATAATTAATATGGATACTCCTGTAGTGTGTGTACCAGGTTAGGGTTAGGGCATAATTTTATTCCGATTTTCCTTATTTTGGTTCTAATACGAGTTCGAGGACTGTCTGTGTTAGCCAAGTGTATATACATAGGTTTCGGTCCATTTACACAACTTGATGTAAAGTAGGTAGAAAATATTTAGTTACCTCCATATCGGTACACACACTTCTGTAGCGCCTTAATATGAATCTAATATGATGACTTGAAAATAAAATGAACAGTTACAAACTTATAATGCACTGCCCTAAGGTAGTGTAGGTATCTGTAGGTGTTGATATTTCAGTGTCAACCATAACTGTCAGAGATAAGGATCCTTTGAGTGTTAAATCCACCATCATAATTCTATATCGTTTCAGTGACTCATGGTTAGGGTTGCCACTTCTGGATACATTTTAATCGAATCTTGAATCAAAAATTTTTTTTTCATCTTTCCGAATCTGATTCCATTAGGATTTTTTTTTTATTGCATGGTTTTTTTGCTCACTGTCACAAAAAAGCCCAAACTAGAAGAGAAAAACTTGAAAATGGAATACGCTATATGGCAAGGGTGATAAAGGTTTTTCAGTGTATAAGCCACACTTATTTCCATCATGATAAAAAGATGTAGGTCATAGATATCACCAATAAATGCATTGATAAAAAACTTGCTGTTGCAACGTATCTGTGAGTCTTACAATACTGAGTTATTATTGTGATATATCTGTATCAGGACTGAAGCAATTTGATGGAATTTATATGAGAAAATAGGCAGGGAACAGTTGTACTGTTACATCATAAACACAGTAACAGCACTGCTTTCCCTAGTCCCACACCAGTATAATGTGTGACTGTGGTATTTTACTTCTTGTTATATTGAATTGAGGCCGACCTCATTACCGATAATAGTAACATGACAAAAACACTTTAATTGCATCTGAATTACTATAAAAGGGAAATGATTACCAATAATAATTAAATTGATTTCGAGAAAAACAATCGTTCACCCGACTACGATTGCGAACAAAAATTTCCATAAATATTAGAGACAATATTATTTCTGGCTAACAGCGTTATTGGCTGACTCGGGCTTCATTATTATCGTGGACTACGTTTAATTTCGTAATTCAGAAAGTCCTATTGTGCCTAATGGACGCTGCGCTGACGAGCGATAGTTGGTCGACGCTTTATATCGATCAAACATGGTGGTGGGCTAAAGTAAGACAACATTCGCACAGTATGCTTGGTCTGGTATGAAATCTGGCACGTGTTGATGTAAAACAGTGCACAAGTTGCCATTCCTCAAGTATTATTTACTCCCACCTGTCCGTTATGACATTTGCTGGAAATAATTCAAAATGTTTCATTTCCGCTTGTACCACGCTAACAAAATTAAAAGTGAATACTACTTTTATTTGTAACAGCTGAAAAAAGACGTGTATGTACTATTACATTATGTCTCCCTGATTACCTTTACCGCCACTCGAGTGGAAGCCTGACAAACACAAACAAAATAAATATATATTTTAGGATGAGAAACATGATTTGCCGACCGATGAACTCACTCAGTAATAGTTCTCTTCAAATGTACGCGAAATATTTCAATTAGAACAAAGTTTAAATTAAATTTCAATCAAAATATTATCTAGACGTTGATAGCTGATTCTTCATCCAATCATGCCCGGGCGTACAATAACTTAGTCACAGAGCAGGTGTGCTATTAAAAATTTCCATCAAAATTGTCACGAATTTTCAGGTATACGATCCATTTAAATTCGCGCATAATAGAAACTAAGGCTATTCAGGGGAAAACTGAACTCGCAGTTTGGTGGAAATTACGCAACACACCATCTCGAGTGATGCGTAAAAGAGTGTGTTGTCGAACTTGAAACAAATGAAGGCAGATTAGTAAAAAGGCAATCACGAAAAATTCATTTTCATTTATTTCCGTCCGTAATTATTTGGAGTGCCGCATAAACGCATTCGGCAGTTTTAACGCCGCCGAAAACAACTATTAACGAACGTTCAATGTTTTTTTCGGTCCCGTAATTTGGTGTTATTTGGAGTGCCGCATAAACGCATTCGGCAGATTTAAAGCCGTCGAAAACATCGATTTAACAAACGTTCAATGTTTTTTTTTTTCATAGAATCTCTCTTTTTTTCCGAATTGCGTCAATCAGATTCGAATCGATTCAGAAAAGATGCGATTCGAATGAATCCGATTCGAAAATCCAAAAGTGGCATTCCTACTCATGGTGACTCGTAATTTCACTCAGAGTTGAATCTCCTCCAATACTGAATAAGTATTGCTCAAGGGAGCCACATAGCAGTTGGGACCACAATGCTACGTGCAAATTTAACAATACCAAAAAACGACCCGTTTTTCCTAGTGCTTGGGCCAAGAGTGCTGAAACTCTCTGGAGGATTTAAGATTTTAAGAGCCCCCTGTGTAACAAAACAACATCAAAACCTACCTCTTCATAAAATTCTGGAGTCTCATTGTGATGTAATACAGCAGCTGAAACTCTCTTTGCAAAAACTTCATTCCCCGGCCGATTGTAAAACGAACGAAGCGGTGTAGAACCTTCTGCATCAGACTCTCGAAATTCAATAACAACTGCAATGTTGCGAGCCTAAAAACGAAAAATGTTGTTTGTGGAAGTCTGGAAAAATTTACAACATACTCCAACTCAAGCTCAAAACTATGAGAATCTTCTGACGAAAACTTCAGCGTATACGCGCCTCCATTAATAGGCCACTAAGAACGTGAAAGTATTAATTTAGCCACAGATATTGTTAACTTTGCTTTGGGCTAAAACTTCTGGCTGCTACACTTCACTGAAGTTGTATGGCTATAAGAATTTGACATTTTTGCTTATAGTTTAGAAAATAAATTTTGGCTACAACATTCCACTGAATTTTATTTGACTTACCTTAGAAAAGAGTTATGTCTGTTATACTTTAATAAACTTGGGTAGATTTAGAAATTAAAGATTTTAGCCAGAATATCACTACCCCTGCTTTAGGCAAAATCTTCTGGCTGTTACACTTCACTGAAGTTAGATGGCTACATAAATTTGATAAATCAAACAGAATATTTTTGCTTAAGTTTTGGAAAAAATTCTGGCTTCAAAACATTCCACTGAACTTGGGCAGAATATTACTTCTCTTACCTTAGAAAAAAACGTCTGGCTGTCATACTTTCGTGAAGTTAGGTAGCTATAAGTACTGGACAATTTGACCAGAATATTATTGCTTTTACCTTAGGGAAGGATTTACCTTAGGGAAGGATCACACACCAGTGGAATTTGGTTGATGTAAGAATTATACATCTTAGCCAGAATATCCAGTACTCTTACCTTAGGGAAAGACTTCTGGCTGTCATACTTCAGTGATCTTGGATAGATATAAAAATGATTGACATATTCCATGTTCATATTCTGGTCAGAAAGAGACGCCGGCAAGAATTCATCAACCTCTAGAATTGGTTCCGATTTCTCATCATACGGCTTCACAGGTACAAGAGATGGGCTAAGCAGACCTGGGAAAAAGATAGACAAAGATAGGATAGGATTTACACTTTGATCCCGCAGGAGAGAAAAGCCAATAATACGACCCAATCATATGACGAACCACGGCCTTTCTTCCGGTTACCAGTTGATGTCGAGTATGGGATTAATTAGTCGGGTATGGGATTAATTGTTTTTGCAAGCATGGACTTGATGGTGGAAGGAGCCGTCATCGACCAGCTGTTACGACGACGAGGAGTCCAGCAATTCTCTCGCACATGATTCGAACCTGCGGACCCACGAAGGGTAATCAGAAGCGCGGTGCAACCTGGTACACATACTACGGGAGTACCCAAATTTGTACTCTTTATATTGATTATCCCGTATTATGATGTGTTGATACTATGTGAACCACCCTACGGCGACGAGGAGTCCAGTAATCCTGTCGCACATAACTATCCCTGCATAGAATTCGAACCTTGGAACTGACACAGAGTAATTAGAGGTGCGGTGGCGAGCGTACTCCCAACGCTTAGCAGGATGAGCTACGCCGCCAGAATCAACCAAAACCATTCACTTGTACACCTTATGCCCACTACATTAACTCTTTTGTTCCGTATAACTTATATATTCGTATTACCATCCTTGGTCATAATAGTTATTTTCGGACTATTTTACGTTTATGTTCATGTTTTGTGAAGTATTCCGCACTAACTAAATCATTTTGAGCATCCAACTATGATCCGTGCTTGATCTGTCAACATTTTGTTTTTTTGTAAATTTTTTATTTTACTACTAAGTGAATTTTATTTGTGTAGGCATTTCAAAGCTTAGAGATACACGAAAGTATTTGTCATTACTTCAAAAATAAGTCATTTGAACGAGCGGGAAACAATTTCGCGCACATAATAAACAAACAAAGATTCCAGACAACTATCGTGGACATGCTCTCACATATCATTGATTATTTCGCGTTTCGCTTCGCTTGCGAAGCTGAGTCTGGTTTTTCTGCAAAGGTGACGTAACCCTCTTTCAGAAGAGCGCTTGGAATTTCGTTTCTTTGTAACACGTGTTCATCGAAGCGATAAGAGTGTGAAACGTTCTCTCAAAATTTTTTGAAATTTCTCTCTTCTTACACGCGTAGGGTCGAACAGTTTCGCCTACGTCATTTGGGCGCGTTTTAGTAGGAAGACGCGAAAATAAGCTTTTTAAAGAGATATTGGGGGTGTTCCTTGTACGTTTGGTTAACTGGTCATTGCATATTATAAAATGGTACATAAAGTCGATTGTATACAGCGGAAAAAAAGGGTTAAAGACCTACTTGTCACATCTGAAGGAACTCTATGAAAATCAGCAACCAAGTTACATTCGATGTATTCCAATTTAAGTTTTTCAGGTCTGAAATAAAAAATTAAAGTGTATGATTGTTTTACCAGTGACATGCATTCACCCAAAAAAATTAACTAGAAAAGAAGGTGTTTTTGGAACTTTTATTGGAAAACCTTCGAGTTAGAGAAAAATATTTTCAAGATTTTTAAAAAAAAATATAAAAAAGTGATACACTGATATATATATTCAGCAAATATTTATAAAAAATTCAGGGGCTCCCGAAGTATGCGAACCAAGATGGCGGACATCGGAATGTAATAGGTGTACTAGGTTAAGGTTAGGCCATAATTTTAGGTATAAATACTACGGGAGGCTCTTGGCTAGTCTTCGAACTGATAATAGGACTAAAATAAGGAAAATTGAAAAAAAAATTATCGCCTAACCCTAACCTGTTACCCATGTTACGTTCCGATGTCCGGCATCTTGGTTCGCATACTTCGGGAGCACCAAAATTCGAATATGTGAACCCACGGAAAAGGTGGCAAGCGTGTTCCTAATGCTTGGCATTTGGGCCATCCGACAAGTTATTGAATATTTAATAATACATACTTTCTAAAGTCTGTCAAATACTTCAACAAATTCTCTTCTCCCAGTTTCGAAGATTCTTGTTTGAAAACGTCCATGAATTCTGCATCTTCTAACGTACCTTCAGAATCACAGAACAGTGGCCTGGATAAAAAATTGAGGATTTTATTAGACTTTGCTGAGAAGGAAAGCTTATGTGATTGCTTGATTCAATGACACCTATTTAAAAGTAGAAATGGCTATATGGTCTTAATGACTCTTTGGGCTGCCATTTGCCATTTGGGGGAGCTGTCTCAGATGACTGTATAGTGGTATCGCTGCACCCAGCCTGAAAAACTTTGCATAATATGCAAGAATATATTATATTGCTATATATATTTTCATTGCTGCAATGCTCCTTTTTTCTGGTTGACGAAAAATAAATCTCTCTCTCTCATTTTATAAACAGCGAAATAAAGATGTGTATATGTTCCCATCGTCATTAGAATGGCCTACTATGGTAGAGGTATATTAGTCATACATGCACTGAGAGCTGTGTTAAGTTTTGTTATTAAAAATTCTGAAAATCTAAAAGTGTGCCGAAGTGACAGTGTTGGAAGTATAAAAATGGTAATGCATTCAAAAAAGTCAAAAATAAGAAAAGAGAAGAGAGCTAAACCAGGGGGTGGGCGATTACTTTCCTAATTGGTCCACTTACAGATAATTGACTTGGTTACTGGAGAACAGTTTATTTACAAATAACTAGTGCCAATAACAAAAAGAAAAAACGGGCTAACTTACTTTGCCGTCCATGCAAATGGCATTCTATATTGGCCAAGTCTTTGGCAGGCAACTTTGGCGTGTTTCAGAACCTGTGGTTAAGAAAGGATAGGATTAATGCTTGACTCATGGTGCGAAGCGCTACTAATATGCTTGCACCGCACCCTAGAGTTTGCAGGTTCGAATCCTGTAGGGAATAATAGTGCATGAGAGGAATGCTGGACTCCTCACCATCATAAAGTGGTTCATATAACTGGTCAGTTGCGGCTTCATCCAACATCAAGTCCATGCTTATGAAACAAATAGTAATAGATCGGTAGCCGAACGACTTGATACTCTAACATTTCGTTAGTCGACCAAAAAATTATGGTCAAAAACAATGTTCCCTCTAATTTTTTGTAGTATGTGTGCACAGAAATTTTGGTGTGTGCGCACTTTTTTGGAAATGACTAATATTTGTGCAAAAACAAATGAAGAAATTTTGGCGTTCTAACCGGGTATAAGTGAGCCAACAACAAACTTTCTCAACCTGCCAACCGAGCACATTGTTACATTACATCGAAATAGGTCTGTGAGCAGTAAATCTATGCGTGTGCGCAGCCTCTGAAAGCTGTGTGTCATACTACTGTCCCTTTTTTCAAATACATAGCAATTTTCGGCAGTTTGGGGAAGTTTTCTAGATCCTGAAGATACTTGGGAACCCAAGTTTTTCATCTTCTGGTCGGACCAGCTAGCTTTTACAATTTGACATGGCAATTAGAAATTTTACACCCCCTTTCCCCCCTCTGAAAATTATGGCTACACCCCTGACAATGAGCACCACTAACCTTCATTGCAGTTTTGTTGATGTCCCCGTCAGATTTCATGTAAGGTTGAGTGCACGATTTAATACTTCCTTGCAGAACTTTTTCAATCCGAACGACCAAATAGATATCGGGATGAGGTTTGCTGACATTGAACACACACTGAATGAAAAAAGTGTTTTTATGAGAGATATGTGAGGTGGGGGGGGGGGGGAAGTCCCTAACTTTCCTTGGACCTTGGAAAACTTACACAAATTGAAACGACTAAGTAGATGTGACGGGATGTGGCTTGCTTATGTTGAATTCACACTGAATGAAAAAAGGGTTTTTGTCTGTGTTATATAGGAGAGAAAAAGGGGGAGGGAGAAAAATAAATTTGGGAGGGGAAAGTCCCAAATTTTCTCTAGTCTTGCAAAACTTCCACAAATTGAAACGACTAAGTATATGTGACGGAATGTGGCTTGCTTGCTTGATGACACACTGAATAAGAAAAAATTGTTTTTGTCTATGATATCTTAGGACAGAAATGAGAGGGAGGAGAATAATAAATGTGGGAGGGGAAAGTCCCTAACTTTTTCCAGGCTTGCAGAACCAGAAATATATATTTTGATGTGTCCAGTTTTCGTTGAATACACACTGAATAAGAGAAAATTGTTTTTGTTTGTGATCTGTAAGCCCCTAACTTTTCTCAGCCTTGAAAAACTTTCTCAATTTGGACTACTGAATACATATCTAAATGTCGTTGAATGCCACTAAACAAGAAAAGTGTTAGTGCTAAACAGAAATATAGTTAATCATCATCTATTAATTCTTGTATAGAGCCATGTATAGAGTGGATGAGTAAAACTCGTAAAATTGGGCACAATGGCCCAATTGTCGGGAGCATTGTATATAACAATTAGACGCAAGCAATGAGGTTAAAAATCTCAACCCTTAGGCTACAGTCCAACCCAGTGTGTAACAAACTGAGTAGAGAATGCTGAGATAGATTTTGGCGTGCTCCAGAAGTATGCGCACCAAGATGTCGCACAACCTGAAACTAACTTGTACACACATATTATGTTCAGTTTGTGCGCCATCTTGGTGCGCATACTTCTGGAGGTCCGATTTTGGTCCATCTAAAAAAAGTATCCTCTTACATATCATTAGAAATCGTGCAGCGGCCTGGACACAGATACGAAACTGTATACGAAAAATAAATTAGATATGCATATAGTATTTCCATATATATCAGTGGATGATGAACCTAACCTAAGCAGAAAAGTATCTAAAGCAGTGGTTCCCAAACTGGGGGTATTTACCCCCGAAGGGGTAATATGGCAATTTTTATGGGGTAATCCAGACACTCCCTGTATTAACAATTTTTTTGTAATCCCCGTACTTCTACCTAGTGTAGACTGTAGACACACGGCTTGTAGGGAGATAATAACAATACTTTGTCGTACAGACTGTAGGCTGAAATGCTGAGTTAGCGCATTTAAAATCTGATCGGAAGATGCACAATAGGTGTTAGTAATATCGCCATTTTGGTCAAAAAAGCGATAACGATATTGTATTTTTATGGAAGGGTTAATTGAGGTTTTGGCAATTCGATTTAGGGGTAACGATAATAAAAGTTTAGAAACCACTGATCTAAAGTATAACAACAAATTTGTGTATAAAAAAAAATGCATTCTTACATTCTTAGGGTAAGCAATCCATTGTTTTTTAATCATGTTAAGAATCGGTTCCCCGGTCTTGCTTTCGTCGATATCTGATGTTGTGCGTATACTGCCAGACGGTGATGAAGCTTTCCTGGACGAGAGTTCACGTTCTGGAATCATTTTACGAACCTGGATAAAAATTTATGATGAGGTTTGAAAAACTGGAATAAGAAAATAGTAATAGAGGAAAAGTTTTAAAAATTATTAAAAAATAGTTGGCACAACGGATGAAAATTATGCCAAGAAGAACTGGAATACATTCTTTGGGTGCCATAGTAACTGAATTGGATTATGTAGATTCAACAAAATAAACAAAAACTTTTGTGAAAACATAAATAAAAATGGGCAACATCGCAAATTTAAAAAATGTGGTTTTATCAAATTGTCTAAGATTTATTGAAAAAAAAAACTTTAGCTTAAAGAGAATGCTATGCTTATCAGGTATGCAGTGTACTCAAACATAAAGCCATAAAGTCTATAGGATGCCTGTTTCAAAATTCACCTTAGAACAATAAATTTAAACAATTTCATAAACTGTTATCATCGTTGAGTCGATTCATATGATGTCTTGCAACTTACCAGATCATGGTTGAGATCGACATGAACATCAGCCGATATCTTCTTCATTTGTGCGACGTCGTATAAACAAAGAGTCACAAAGAATGGTTCGACCTGAAAATGAGAAAAATTCAATTTTGATTGCAACATGCTCAGGCCTATAGCTTCCGGTCCAATCCATGTCGGGTATAGCATTAGTTAGCCAGTTATTTGTTTCAGATGCATGGACTTGAAGATGAAGGAAGCCATAACCAACCAGCGGTATGTGAGCACCCTGCAGCGATGAGAAGGCTATCAATCCTCTCGTACATACCATGGGATACGAACCCAACCATGGGAATCAGATGTGTGGTGACGAGCGTAGTACTGACACTTAGCACGATGCGCCACACGGCCATGCCAACAACTGAGATGTAAATATGTAGGCAAGGCTGAAGTCTTGGAGCCTCAAGCCTTAGGGGCACGAGATTGAATTTCGAACTGTCATTCATTTCAAAACCATTTTTAAATTGAAAAGACCTGTTCCAAAATTGAATTGATAGCTACAAATTTCATAAAAGTAAAATTTGTTTCTTTTTTACTAGGTTAGATATCTTTCTCCCAAGTATTCTCGTTTAAATATTAAAAAAAATAAATTTGGTGGAAAAAATGAATTTTTTTACATTTATCCTATCAAAAATGAAAATATCTTTAAATTAATTAAACAGGTTATACTCAATTATATATATTGGTTATGTTTAACACAATTATGCTAATTTTTTGGGCACACTCAGGAAATCATCACAGCGCAATAGTGCCCTTTTGGGAACCACTGTATGAGGAAATCAAATTATAGTTTTAGTTATCAAAGATGTTTTATGTTTTAGTAAGGGTGCCATAATTTGCTGAATAGTAAAACAAAAAAACTTACACTTGTTTTAGGCTCTTCAGCACCATCTATGACGACGCCACGTAGATTGAAGCTGATTGTCTTGCATTGAACCAACACTCTGTGCTTATGATGCTTCACTGGTGGTGGAGGCAACATTGACTCGGCTGATCGCTGGACCTGGAAAGAAAAAAATAATATTGTGTCAAATAATTCTGAAATACAGATAGATACTGGCATTACGAAAAATTGTTTGAAATGAATGGTGTTCTACAACTTGCCGACAAATGTCGATTGAAAATGTATATTGAAAGTTTACTTGGCCTTAGTTTAAAAGTTTACTCCTTATGTGAGCATGGTACAAACTATAATGATTGCTTATCAATAATAACAATGCTTCAACAATCGACTTGCTAAAACTTGACCAATGTTTATTTAGATATTTAAACCTTGGGTGTCGTTGCTTGATAACCAGCTTCGGTTCCACGCGGCTTCCCTTCCTCAGTGAAATGTGTTTTTAATATAATTCGTCTGAACATTACATGTTAGTTTCTTTTTACTGGATGGAACAAATTCTCGCCCCCATACATACATGTAAACAACTAAGATTTCACAAGTAATGACGCAATGAAAATACACATTGTTAAAGTCAAGGTTGAAATTTCGTTCTAAAGTTTTGTAGTCTTGTAGCAGTGGTCCATGGCATAGACTTAGCCCTAGGCTAACTGTGTCGGTATCCAAGGTAAACATTTAGCGATTAAATCCATTAGCCCCCCAGCTAATCCAGAAGCAATGAATTGGTCAGGCAATTAGGCTGTAACAGAAAGATTTTGTTCCTTCCTAAAGAAAGTAACTTCAGACATATTGTGAAATATCAGAAGCTACTTGTTCGTAGCAAAAAGCCTGAAAATAGCTTTAATGTCAATAGTCATTTCTGAGTATTTTGGGGATTAGAGTTTTGTAAGTATATGTGACTGAAGGGGATATGTAATATGCAGGTAAAGAAAAAGAGAGGGATAAAAATAAATGCAGGAGGGAGAAGCCCCTAACTTTCCTTATACTTACCGGTAATTTTCTGAATTGAACACCCAAAAGGATATCGGGATGTGGCTTGCTAAAGTTGAATACACAGAAGTGTGTTTTTGACTGTGTTATGTGGGAGAAGAAGGGAGGAAGGTGAAAAATAAATGTGAAAGGGGGAAGTCCCTAACTTTGTTTGGACTTGAAAAATTTCATCAATTCAACACCTGAGGAGGCTTTAATGTCAATAGTCATTTCTGAATATTTTTGGGATTATAGTTTTGTCGGGTTGATAAAATTGGCCAGCCAACCTTAAGATATTTTTCCTGGAACTCGGGATAAATATGCACAAGATTCAGTCTTCCATCTTTTCTAGCTGTTGCATTCTTCTGATCGGTTTCTTTCGAATATTTGACAAGTTCTGGATGCATACTGCTCTGCAGACTCTCCATGGTTCCTCCTGATTTTGATTCAATTTCTTGTTGGGCTAGAAAAGGAAGTTAAAAAGACTTGACTTAAATTTATTCTGTCTTTTATCATTGCCCGGTGATCCCCCAGTTTGTAACCCCTTTGTTAAATAACAGTCTGAACGACGGTGAAACCAGTTTGTTAAATGTTGATGTCCGCTTGTTGGGGAAGTTAAGTTTGTAAAGCCCTCTTACTACTTTAGTAGAACCAGTAGTAAGAATTTGACAGTCAAATTTCCACTGTTGTCAGTTAAAACTTTTTCGCCACTGATTCAGCTACGCTTTGCTAATATGATCAAATGGTGTTTCAGATACTGACGCATTCGGCCAAGGGGGGAATTTAGAAAAAAAAAAATTTAGAAAAAACACCAATTGCGGAAAACTTACCAATCTTAGACTGTTCTTCATTCTGTAGTTGTGCCTCAATTGCGTTTTGTAAAGCGTGGTTTATAGTTCCAATCCATTCATTGGCTTCGTGCTCCGTTTCTGCCGCTAGCAGATGACAACTCTGATCTTGCATTCTGATTTCGAAGGCATATTTGCGACCTTTCGTTGTCTGTTGTGAAGTAAATTTGAAATGTCACGGATTAAAATCTGGGATTCAGATCCCAAGCCCAGCGTCTGAGACAGTGGTTCTCAAAAAGTGGGCGTAGACAATTTTTTGAGGGGGCGTGAAGCTGATTAAAATAAAAATATTTGTCAGATTTTAGCTATCCCACCTATTTCGGATATTTACATTTCTTTTAGAGATTGCAGAGAGTTGTTTTGATAAATTTCGATTGTTTTAGAAACTTTTTATTTATTTATTATTACGTTCCATCCAAATATTATAATTAAACATGTTTTTTGAATGAAACATACTTTCGCCTTACTATTTGTTATTTGCAGGTTGTAGCTTTTTGCTAGCTAGTTATTTTTAGGTGGAGAATGAGACAAATTCTAAAAAGGGGGTGTGGCATAAAAATTTTGCCAACCACTGATCCAGGGGTGAGCTTAAAATTTTTTGTCAGCTGGTTCTTTCACAAAAGTCATATTTTCAGCCGGTTCTGTTACAAATAGAACATTGACAGTAACCAGTAACGCTAACCGGTTCGCTGATCTCATAAAATTCCATGAGACGGTTCTATAGAACCGGTGAGAACCGGTTTAATCCCACTACTGCACTGATCTAACACTGATATGAATGTTAAAACCAAAAAAATTCCAGCTTTGTTAAAGTAGTGATTCCTAAAGATGTGTTGACATTTCATGAAAAAAGAATGGTTGTTTGAAATGTGCATGAATTGTATATTGAACCATTGGCATAGAATTCCTTGCAAATGTTAATGGAATGGAAACATTGTTAGTTATAAAGCACTCAGATTCACACAAGAATTTAATGATGAATAAATGATTAAAAGCCACACAGAAATCATTGAAACTATCCTATAATAATACAAAGGCCACACTATGAAATGAAGAGGTTCTAAACCAGGGGTCTGCAACCCTTTGTCGCTTGCGGGCCAAAATAAAGGTTGCAAGTCATTGGCGGGCCGCACATATTTTTAGAAAGTTGTAAACCGAACGACTGATACTTTTTATAATAAAAATCAAGCAGTGACATTGCATTGCATCTCAAAAAAATTCATTTAAATATTCTCGGCACCATTGCAGTCTTTGCACTTAGCATCAACTTTTCTGCGTTTTGTTGCCATTTGTCTAATTATAATTAAATTATAGGCTAATTGAACGATTAATTGTGAATTTTATCCTTGTTAGATTATAATATAATTTAATTTAAACGTGTCTCGCAATAAATTCTGTTTCGTAAAGAATATAATCGTCAAAACAGCTGTTTTGTTACTATAATTCAGTGAAGCGTCGCGGGCCGGATTGTATTACTCCGCGGGCCGTAGGTTGCCGACCCGTTCTAAACCCTGACTGAGAGAAAATAATTGAGACCAACATATTAGAGAACCCCGTGGCTATGATTGAAAAGCTTGAAATTCAAAAGATTTGGTGAAACTTGTTCAAAATAGATCAATGTCTTAGCTAGCTTATTGATAGAAATTTGAAAACTAAATATTGCTATTTATTGGTTTACTCTTATTCTTGCCCCTTTGTCAAGTTGAAAATTTTTTATTCTTTCGCGATAATGTAGAATCATTTGCTAATGATTTGGTTTCTGCGAGATTCACTACTTATCCTTCTTCTATGCGCTTTCGTATCGGCGGATCCGTATTGCAAGGATGCTGTAGCAAGAGTAAAAATAACTATCCTAAGTGATTCAAGAGTCTTGGTGCATTTGATTAGTGTGCAGCAAGACTCTTGAATCACTCAATGTGGAATCATCTGCTAAAATATGATATCGTGCGAAATTTGAGATGTTATGCAAGTCTGTGATAATTTTCCGAAGACATAGTAAATAGCCCTTCTAAGCTATTTTAGTATTTTTGAACTGGAATTTAAAAATTCCAAATTGCAGTAAACAGTAATTTTTTTTGTAAAATATCAGATAGGACTCCGGGGGTCAAATAGAAAAATACAAGAAATAGAGCTTCAGCAATTTCTTCCATCTCCAAGTACTGTAGATTTAGTATAAATTGGCTATTAATTTAGTTAAGTCACTCATTAGTCGAGTGATTTTGAGGGAACAAAAACAATGTATAGGTCCAATCCGTGTCCAAAAAGCATAAGAGAATACCTAAGAATGAGTTTCTGCTACATTTAAGTAGTAAATGATTGTGACTTTTCTGGAGTAAAATTCACAGAAAAAATTTGATCAGTTGAATATTCATTAATATTAATTCAGATTCAAATGATTTCCAAGCAAAGATGAAAACAAGCAAAAAGCAGCACAATGCTACATGCAACCCACCCAACTAACCGAATGTGCACCAATGCAAGAATCTAAATAAATAGCCCCTTTTGGATCTCGAGATGTTTTCTCATCTTTGTAGTAGTTCAGGATGTAAGAACTGTCTGGCATTTGCTTTAAATCGAAGTAACGACGCTTGAATGACTGTAAAGAGAAAAGAAATTTGGTGAGATTGGTTATTTAGGCGAGCTATAAAAATAAGAGAAAAGCTGGCAATATGGCTTAATCAGATGGCAAAATACAGTTTTGCTTTTAAATAATTTTATACCCTACGTTTAATAATAAAAAGACAACAAGTGATAGAAACAGAATAAATGCACCATAGTCAAAGAAATGAACAAATTTCAGTCAACTTTCAGTCAAATTTCAACAGAAACTTATAAGATTTGTGTGAGAAAGTTTTTATAGATACCAACATTGATTAAATATCTGTGACCCACTCTCTTCTGTTTCATGATAAAAATATTATTTTTGACCCATTCATTGAAAAAGGTTTGCCATCCCTGTTATAGAATAACCTTAAATTGAAGCAACATAATGTAAAGTGAAGTACAGAGTCTAAAGAACTAACCAAATCGCAGTCAACGGAAGTGTATTCATGACAACTGATACCTAGTGAATATCTCCACTAGTGGCCCTCAGTAAAGCATATGTTACCACTAGGGGCACGAGGGCCAAGTTTGAGAAAAAAAATTTTATTCACCCTTATAGAGATACTACTGCCAGTATATGAAGGTGCTTTGTACAGCCACCCTCTCTTCGTGACACCTTCTTTGTGTAAGATCTGTAGATTGTCTTCCTCAAAATCTGCCTCTTCATCCACTTCGTAAACCTGGGATCATGATGAAGTATATTTCAAGTGATTTAAGAATCATTTTTGTTACAGAACAAGATAGGATATTTATAACAGGGAAGGGTAAAATTACATTGACTTGTTCAAGGTAAAGATGTTGCTTTCTCCTAATAAAACTAAATTTTGTGATTGTTGATGTGTCCTTTATGCCTTCTGAAATTTGTGAACATGTAGGCCTAAGGAATAAAGGCGAAAGGTCTGTTTCATTTCATCTCTGCCTGATTTTCCTAATAAACTAACTATTTTAAAATCTATCAAATATTAGATTCATTTTTGGCATCACTGGCAAAATAAACTTTGCTTACCACTTCCTTGAGAGGCGGTGGCTTGAGTCCATGATCAGGTAGTTGCAGATAACTCCCAGCATATTCTTCATACTTGTGTTTGATAAGATGCCAGCTATTCTGATAAGTCTTGATGCACTGTGAGTATAAAAACATAAGAAGATAAAGATAGGATTTTTCTTTTGTAATTGACCAAAGGGTATAAACGAGAAAATAAAGTCACAGATTTTAAAAATTTTGGGTTCACGCAATATGTAATAAAATGGGTACGTGATGCCACTGCAGAAAGATTCTAGTCCCAAAAATAGTAACTTCTTGCGTATCGGTAGTTGCTTGTCAAGAGCATAGCGATCAAAAGTGAAAAAATAAAAAATTTGGGCTGTTATGCTTTGAGTTTGCCAGGGGGGGTGAACGATACGAAAAGTCAATGTCACAGCTTAAACATTGAGTGTGAAAACAGGAGCTCCTTGTCAGCCTTGTTCAAAAAAGACGACAAGACGGCTTAATCATATGGTGAACCACGGCCTCTCGTCCGGTTACCAGTCCATGTGGTGAATGGGATTAGTTAACCAGATATTTGCTTCGGAACCATGGACTTGAAATGCATGAAAACTGCCAAAAGTTAAAACAGTCGGCAAGAGCACGTACACAGAAAATATTCAAAGCTTTCGCTCACCTCTTTGACCATCAGACTTGATGCTTCCTTTTCTGCTCCATCAGGTACAGAATCTATCTCTGTCCTACGATCTTGGGTTTGTTGTGTGGCCTGGAGAATGGAAGTTAGATCAATTGAGGAAAAATAGAAGCTGTGACGCAGCGCTTGGTGAGAGTGCATGAACCGAGAGTCCGAAACTAGTTACAGTTCTCCTGGGAATTTTAGTAGTCATCCAAAATTTGCTCGAAAGCGAGTCTCGTTAACTTTAAAGTGAGAGCGTGTGACTTTGCTTTGAGCAAAGATTGATGATAAAAATATTGCATGTTTTGCGAGAAATAGATTAAACATTTTGGGTTTAGACATCATTCCCACCACCTCACGCAGGGTGTAATGGATAGCAAGCCTGAATATAAAGCAGTGCTTTTCAAACTTTTTTCAAACTTTTAATGTTTAGACTTGAGTTCGAACTTCATCCCATCAACCTCAAACTGGGTGTACAAAATTGGGCCCTTTTTGGAAATTGTTAAATCTTGCGCCACACTTCAAAAATAACTAGCTAACAATCCGCTACAAATAAAAGATAGTAAGGCTCCGCGCTTAGAATAATAAATATACAGGCACAGCAGCGCTCTGCAATCTCTAGAACAATGAAGATATGTGAATATATAATCAAATGTAACAAATTTTTTTTTTTTTAATTACCTTCACGCCCCCTCAAAAAATTGGCTACGCCTCTCTTGTGGGGCAAGGGCGCGTGCCCCACTGTTTGAAAGCCCCCGATCTAAAGTTTTATAAACTTTACAAAAAAGTCATTTTACCTCGTAGTCATCTGTAGGAAATTCCAGTAAATTCCTGTGAGAGTCGTTGATGATCTCACTCTGTCGTTTTAATAGAAATGCTTCATAGTCAATCGGTTCTGTCAGTGTTGACTTTAGCTGTAATATTTAAATAAATATAAATTTTGCTGACTGGACTAGTACTTATTAAAGCTTTTAAACCAGGGGTCTGCTAACTACGGCCGGCCCGTGGAGCAATATAATCTGTGCCGCAATGCTTCACTGAATTATAGTAACAAGTGAGTCTAACAACACAGTTGCTTTGACGACTATATTCTTTACGTAACAGACTTTATTTTTGGAAACACATGTAGACTGAATTATCTTACAGATATAAAATTCACAATTACTCGTTTAATAATGAGCCTGCAATTTGAATATATTTAAACAAACGCAACAAAACGCAGAAAAGTTGATGCTGAGTGGCGCAGAAAATATTCAAACGGTCAGTATTTCTGCGCTGCTCAAAATTGAACTTCTGATATGTGTTAAAAAAGGTTGTTAACCTCTGGTTTAGACCTAAGTTTGAATCCCATCCCATCAATCTCAAAATAATGGGTGTAAAAAATTTGGCAGGCCATGCTGACCTGGATAGATCCCAGTTCTTCTAGAAATATCTCCTTTTGTGATGTAAGCAGGGGATGTAGTCAGAGGGAGGGAGGATTTGTGTAAAACAAGCATTTTTCTGTGCCATGCACAGCGATTTTTCGTGGCTAAAAACAGTGGGCAAGGGCCTAGAGCCTGTTTCAAAGTGAATGCATGAAAACTCCTTTAAGTTAAGACTCTTAAAAACCTACGTTTTACGACCTCCGGCCTGACCCACTAGTATAGGGGTGGGCAACAACATAAGGCCCGCGGGCCGGACGAGGTTTTGACCGGCCCACTGACTGTACATCAGTACATCATGATAAATTCATTATATGTTATTTGGTCTCTAATTTTGTAAAGTTCAAACTTTACCTCAAACGCGATTTATGATTTTCTTTCTCACATTAGCGAATAAATATGTGATTAAGATATTGAATACTAATCATGTTGTAATCCGGCCCACCGAGGACTTCATTTTCCCACATCTGGCCCGCCGACGAGAGAAGTTGCCCACTCCTGCACTAGCTGATAAAGTCCAACTTGGCAATTATAAATTTCAGAACCCCCCTTTAAAAATTCCTGGCTATGACCCTGAATGTAAAATATCAGTGGCTGCTTGTACAGGGCATTGTAGGGAGTGAAAACCGTAAATAAAAACCGCCGCATAAATATTAAACAACAAAATGTAACAAGTTTATAAAAAACTTGTGAGAGACATATACCCAAGAAACATTTGATAAATAGAAACTTAGAAACGAGAAAATTGGTCGGACACCGAAGACTTATCGATTGAAAGTTAGGGGTTCCCTCAAAACAGAAGCTAGCGACACCGTGTGTCCCATGACTAATTAATTAACAACTCGCTAATTATACAACATAATTCATCAAAATCAATAGGCTTTTGATCCAAGATATGCACATGCAAAATTTGAAGCAGATTCAACCTCACTTTTGTGAGATATCGCGTGTATCTAACAGACAGACAGACAGACAAACAAACAGACAAATACCTATCAACATACTTACCGATCTTAAGATCGAAAAGTAACAAAGAATAAATATTAGTAATATACAATAATACAAAGACAAACAAATCCTATTTGGGTGGTAACTTTCACTTTGAGTCATGTGTTAAAAGTAAATACAATTATTCCGATTAGTCACACTCTATTGGCTAATAATTGTCTAACTTTCACTTTTATGTTTGCATTGTATAAAACAATTTTGAAGTTATGACCAATAAAGCTTTAAAAAACAAGCATTGTCAACTTGGATTATTTCAGAAAGTCACACCTGGGTGATTCTATATCGACTCGTTAAGCGTTAGGAATATACACGGGGTTGGCAGGGATAATTATGTGCGAAAGGATTTCTGTACTCCTCCAAGCCGTAGGGTGGTTTATGAAACGATACGGCTTCCCATGTATCTGAAAACAAATAACTGACTAATCCCATACCAGACATGAACTGGTAACCAACGAGAGGCCGTGGTTCACCATATGAATAAGCCGTCTTATCGGCTTTCTTCACCCCCAATCACGATTTCTGGACTGTCTTTCTTAGCCAAGTGAATGTACCTCCTGCCCATAGGTTTCAGTCCCTTAACTCAATCATCTTAAGATCGATAAGTAATAACTATAGTAACACAAATGAAACTAGCAATTTTTAATAAGTCTGTGATCCAACTTAAAACGTTAGGTACTCCTGTAGTATGTCTACTTAATTTGAATCCGATTTTCCTTATTTTAGTGCTATCACGATTTCTGGACTGTCTTTGTTAGCCAAGTGAATGTACCTCCTGCCCATGGGTTTCAGTCCCTTTACACAACTTGATAGTAGGATAGTTTTGCAGATATTTTATGCTTGTCAAATTTAGACAAAATATAACGATTTTTGTATAATAAAACTACCATATTTTCCCGAAATTACGCCTATATCGAGAATAGGCAGACTCCCTAAAAACGGCCCTAAAACAACGATTTTATAAAAAATCGCACATAAGCCGGTCCTACGAATTGTTACACGCCGGACGCTTCAAGAAAAACGTAATAGAGAACAAAATTACTGCAACGCAAACTTTTCTCACATTTATCGTTTCTGCATGTTAGCGAGGGCCGTAGGTAGATTATTACCCGTAACTCTTACTTGTTAATTTATGTTAATAAAGTCTATATTGCTTTTTGATGTGTCGTGATTGTGTCGGGAGTTTAAAATAGAGTTCCTGAATCAGCCTAAAACAGTTTCCTTTGATCGCCACAACGACGATTAATTTCGTTCCTTGTCCGTTTCAAAGAAAGAAATATCGCTGTATTAACACATTCTTATAAATCACTACGAATCTTAACAATTATTACCGGCATTACCGGCAAATACCGGAATTACCGGCTAGTCAGCATAATATCATCTCGTTGCGTGATCAAATTCTGATACGTGAATGACCCGATTTTTTTGGTGCAATCTGAGTCATGCGAGTATAAGACGGTTTCTTAGTTTGGCAACTTTTTTTTTGAGTTTTAAACCCGGCCTATACGCGGTCATATACGGTATGTGTTATATGTAGCAATGCTTTATAGAAACTCAGGTTATGGAACCCTATTGCAGATAAGTTAGGTCTAGTCACAATTCATTGTTTCGATGTCATGCAAATTTCACTTTCATACATGAAATCTATCTTACAAAGTTATGAACAAAGAAACGGCAGAATCAGCAGAATTACTGCAATTTTAATAAAGAGTAAGCATTGATAGCAGCATTGGCAGACCAATGTCTGGATAAAGAATTCCGACAAGTCACACTTGATTGGTCCCTATCAGAAAAGATAAACATTAATTATCTCATGCGTTGATTACACAAGGAGCGAATGGAGCTTTAAAATTGCAGCATTGTAGCTTTACTAACAAAAGCCACACCCGGGTACAATTCAGGATGCAGCAAGGAATTTTCAAAGTGAGGTTCTGAGATTCGTAATTGCCAAGTTAGACTGTATCAGCTAGCAGGTTTTGAAGTGTCTTCAGGGTCCAAAAAGCGTTTCAAGCTCCAAAAATTGCTATGATACCGAAAATTTTTTTCTTTTCACATTCCGATAGGGAGAGGGAGGCTACATGCTACACCCCTGGGTCTAAAGTTCTAACAACCAGACTGTTCTGAACATCTTAAAAAGAACCGGCAATAATTCTTACACAAAATATTTCCTCCACTTTATGAAAAACTTCATTTTCAGAATTTTCACTGCTGCAAGACAGAACGCAATTTACTCGCTTACGATTCGTCGATTTTTCTAATAACGGGTTCGAATAATAACCTTGAGTTCTGTTACTAAAAGGCTCTTGATAAGCTATTGTAGTATCAGTGTGAGTGACATCTTCTCGGATACATGTTGCCAGAGAAGACTTACATAAAGGAATCATAGAGAATAATTTCAACCAATTGCTCATATTATTTCTAGTTAGAATCTGGCAACCGGTTTAATTTAGATTTTTAGAAATAGACAAAATTGAATATAATGTTAATAATGTATCTAAAATCTATACGAAAAGCTAAATAATTAATTCTAAGTTCTAACGTATTATAATCTAGTATCAATTCACAAAGACTATTTGATAGACCAATGGTTCCCCCATCCTTTCTTTCAAGCTACACATATTTTGTAAAAAATAAATTTTGTAAAATCTAAGAATATGTATGCTCAAATACCAAGCATCATGTAGCTTATGTGGCCACTTAATTAAATAACTAATACAAAAAAAAAAATCATTTCAACATAACTTTCTTATTAAATTCCTTATTGAAGGTGTACATAAATATGCATTAGAATAATGAATTATATAAGTGAAACTACACTGAATACAACAAAATATCACCCTAGCTTAGAATAGGAATCCATAGGAAAAAGCTGTCGTAACACAAATTATACAATAAATTGAAACAGCGCTCTAAACTCAAACTTGAGATTGCAATTTGCCTTTTGCGAAGTTCAATACCTAGTTTATAATGTGTGCATAAATATGAATTACAATAGTACAGAATTATAGTAAGTAAAACTACACCATATACAACAAAATTCGGCGCTTCTGAAGTATGTGTACCAAGTTGGCGCACAAACTGAACTATAACCTGGTACACATACTATGTTCAGGTTGTGCGCCATCTTGGTGCACATACTTCTGGAAGTCCCAAAATTCAACCCTAGCTTGAAATCGTAATCGATAGGAAAAAGCTGTCGCAACAGAAATTGTAAAATAAATTGAAACAGCGCTCTAAACTTAAATTGCAGTCTGACTTTTGCAATGCTTAAATAAACAGTTTATAATATCAAAATTCCACCTAGAGCAGTGGTTCTTAAACTTTTTCGAGCGCGACCCAAATCTGAGTTTTATGAATACTCGCGACCCAATCCTAAATAACGCAAAATGTGTTTTTAATGTTAGTACAGTTTGACTCAAATACAGACAACTATTTATTAGAAACAGTCCATTGACTCAGTGAGATTGATGAAACTGAAATTCCCTTTT